ACATGCCCTTCTTCAGCGATGGACCTTTGCTTTCTCTGTGGGAGCAGTGAATTCTCTAAAGAGGTACTACATGCCCCTCTTCAGAGATGGACCTTTGCTCTCTGTGTGAAAGCAGTGAATTCTCTGAAGAGGTCCTACGTGCCCCTCTTCAGAGATGGACCTTTGCTCTCTGTGTGGAAGCAGTGAATTCTCTGAAGAGGCCCTGCATGCCCCTCTTCAGAGATGGACCTTTGCTCTCTGTGTGAAAGCAGTGAATTCTCTGAAGAGGTCCTACGTGCCCCTCTTCAGAGATGGACCTTTGCTCTCTGTGTGGAAGCAGTGAATTCTCTGAAGAGGTTCTGCATGACCCTCTTCAGAGATGGACCTTTGCTCTCGGTGCGGAAGCAGTGAATTATCTGAAGAGGTCCTACATGCCCCTCTTCAGAGATGGACCTTTGCTCTCTGTGCGGGAGCAGTGAATTATCTGAAGAGGTCCTACATGCCCCTCTTCAGAGATGGACCTTTGCTCTCTGGGTGGAAGCAGTGAATTCTCTGAAGAGGTCCTACATGCCCATCTTCAGAGATGGACCTTTGCTCTCTGTGTGGAAGCAGTGAATTCTCTGAAGAGGTCCTGCATGCCCCTCTTCAGAGATGGACCTTTGCTCTCGGTGTGGAAGCAGTGAATTATCTGAATAGGTCCTACATGCCCCTCTTCAGAGATGGACCTTTGCTCTCTGTGCGGGAGCAGTGAATTATCTGAAGAGGTCCTACATGCCCCTCTTCAAAGACGGACCTTTGCTCTCTGTGAGGAAGCAGTGAATTCTCTGAAGAGGTCCTACATGCCCCTCTTCAGAGATGGACCTTTGCTCTCTGTGTGGAAGCAGTGGTATCTCGGAAAAGGCCCTATATGCCCCTCTTCAAAAATGAACTTTTGCTCTCTGCATGGAAGCAGTGGTATCTCTGAAGAAGCCCTACATGCCCCCTGCTGACTCTAGCTAGAGCTCTCTAATTAAAAGAGAGAGCAAGAGCCCTTCTGCATCCTGGTGAGGGACAGTGAAGCCTCTGCAGAGAGTTCACTGATTCCACACACAGAAAGCAAGCGTCCTTATGCATGCTGGTGAGGGACAGTTAAACCTCTGCAGAGAGACCACTGCTTCCACACACAGAGAACCAGAGTATAGTTCCCTAGTGAGTCTTTCTGCATGCTGGCAAGTGCAGTCTTTTCTACTGCATTCTACAGAACACCAACTGTAAGACTTTGTACACCTTTAGTTTTGATTCACCTGAAATGTATTTAGCTGATTAAAACTGAATGTTCATTTGGGCTTTAAAGCTCAGACAAGAGAAATGTTTAAAGATGTGTACATTCTATGAAGAGTTGACTGCTGATATATTTCTCATGGAAAATATATGACTGTTGTGGGAAGTAGAATCGATAGTTCCTACACTCCATATGTATTTTGTAGTAGGGAAGCCTTTTGCATTCATTCAGCGTCCTTGAAAAGGAGGCGGGGCTTGCCAAAGATAAAAGGTGCTTTACCATATAGTAGATTTGGCATATTTTTAAAATCCCCTCCCTTGGTTTTCTGTATGCTACAGCTCTGTAATGACAATCCAAGGGTTGTAACAAATAATGCAGAGGAAGACTATCTGGTATATGGTAAGCACCAGCCACACTGTGTAAGATTACTAATATGACATTTCTACTATTGAATATAATGTAATATTCACATAAAAACAACTTCTTGTAATGGAAACGTTATTACAAGTTTTCTAAGTCACACTAAAATCAACTAAAATAACATAGTTGTCACTCATTGTAGGGAATATGAACTAATCTGTGAGTTTTAGGACCCTGACCCTAATAAATAAATATAGGTTCTATCTCTGAATAGGTATAATACACTAAATTGTGCAAAAGTATGTAAAAGTTAACCCGGTTTCATGTTGTGCTATGTATATACTACAATCAAATGAATATAAATTCATATGTGAAACATCTAGACAAAAAACATGTAGGGAAAGCTTAGAGAAGAGTAGACCCCCATATTGTACATATGTACTGTAATCACTATCACACCAAGAAGGTATATAAAAGAAGAAATAAACAAACAGAATACACATGAGAGGTAAAACCAATAGAACAAATAGAGAGGGACAAAACCAAAGAAGAGGAGGATACTAAGCTGATGGGTCATAAAGGGACAAGGCCACTATGAATGACTATGGATTACAATATCTATGACATTTTATTGGGTGCAGGAACATGTAATAAATGTCCAGTGGAACATTACAGGGAAGCAGACATGTGTAGAGGTGAAGTAGGCTGTCTGTATTTAATGCAAAGGAAGTAGAAGTCATTTTCATTTGTAGCTTTCCTAAACAATCTATCTTTATATCATTGATCTGCAGCCAGCATCCTTAAAATATCAGGCACTAAATCTCGTTCCCAGTTTGGCTAACATTTCCTATGTGCTGGATTGGTGGCACTGCTATAAAATGATAGTAATTCTCCCATTTCCGGTGGCACCACAGCTTCCACACCCTCTAGTGACCTCAGTGTCCCTCAACCTTAAATTAAATTGTACAGTTTTAATCTTAGTAATGTAATATCATCTATTGTTACTTTTTGGTTTTGACTACCTTTTTTACATTGGGCCCTAAGAAAATTCCTTAATTGTAGTGACATTTTATCAATGATATGATTAATTTGTTCTTAGTGACATCTTTCATGCGCATTACTGTGATGTTTTCTATATTTTGTAGCCATGATGAAGGGTGAAACTGGTTGGCCGCCTCATGTTATCCCTTTGCCATTTGTCGAATTAGTAAAATACATTCTTGGACTCCTAAAACATTTTTGGTGCTACTTCTCGCATATCTACACATATATTTCCCAAGCAGGGTAATCCCCGTATTCAGGGAGAACTCTATTTTGTGGGCAGCAGCCAAACCTAGTCCATTGGGCCTAAACAAAGATTTCCTACCTAACAGCTAAGGATCTGGGTCCAGCACCCACTTCCACTTGCATACTAGCTCATTGACAGGTCACATTACCAAAATTAGTTTCTGTAGAATCCCTCTTCTCCTAGGCTTCAAATGTTTGAAATACAAAGCAAGAGATACAAAATGTCATCTACAATTTGGCCAATTACGGCTAAGCGAAATTAAGCTAATGCCTACGAATAAATAAGACAGTCACATCTCTGCTAGGAGAGAGTCTGAGAGTCGGTACACATATCTATACATACATATATACATATATAGTCTGTGTGTGTGTGTATATACTGTATATCTATATAGATACATATATATAGATATATCTATATCTATATATAACTATATACATTCCTGTTAACTATGTGGGCCTCATTTGTAAGAACTGTCTGTATTGTCAGAGTAAAACTTGTATTCTCCAGCTTTTATTTTTCAGTGTAGTTATGAATTTAGGTAGTCACCATAAGGCCACATGCACAGTTCTTATTAAAGAAACTTTGTTAGATAAGGCTCATTCTGAATAAGATACTTGGCAGAATCGAATAACGTTTTTGTGGTAGAGGCTTTTAACAATGAATTTGGATCTCTCCTATCTCTGCTGAACATTTTCTGTTTAGTTAATCAGTTCTGAAACTCAGCCAATATTTGTGTGCAAGGGTCATGCAGATATGCTCCAGCACAGTGTGCTCTGACCAATAGTCTCCATATGCTACTGGCTGACTTTTCAAGTACAATAATTATTGTGATATTTGGTAAAGCTCAATCTACAGACCTACCTATTACATTGAATAATAAGATTACAGCAGTTTATTTACCAAATCAATCTAGTCTAAGGCAATTATTCATACAGTGTTTGTGACTTATTGAGGATGAACTAACACAAATAAAACCACGCATGAAGGTCAGCCCATGCTTCCTCTGTAAATAAAGGAAAGTGCATAACTTATAAGGTCACATAAACACCTGATCTCTACTGCAGCCACTGGAAAAGAAGGTGAAGCTATAGCTCAAAGGAGTACTTGAATCTAGTGGAATATATGGAAATCGTAACCAGAATGCCAGAAAGATTGGAACTCTTTGGAAAAAATGTGGGTTTCTGTGATCTCACGTTGATTCCTCTATATCTCTCAGTCTTAAACATACGACTGTTATGTGGTGTTCCCTGGCATCCTGTACAGTTTTGTCTACTACCTCCCAATTGAAACTGTAACACTCCTGTAATAACCTCTTCAAGGTTCTTTAACAAACACATCATACATGAGGACATGGGCTAATGGGAATACCAGTTTAGCACACATAACAACGGACTAAGCTATCCTAAGAACTTTGCTCCTGTATGACAGTCATACACCTGCCTGCTACACACAGTTTGGGTATAACAGTCCTCAAGCTACTTGGCATAGTTTTAAATTGCTTAAATGTGTGTGGGAAGTCTGACATTATGCTTGAAGGAAATCCAGCAATGCCATTTTTGATCTCTGGAACAATAAAATGGGCATGCAGGCAGTTTCTCCAGGTGGCTTGTTCAGGCACATCATCACTTTGTGTCTATGATGCATCCTACTTAACTTGCCACTCACAGAGCCCCATCAGCTCTTAACTAATTTACACTCTAAGCAGTCACCTGAAATTACTTTTAAACCATGCCAAACATCAAATGTCACCAAATAACATGGCAGAGATAGAAATCCTTTCCTCATGACCACACAATGCCAGATGGTAGGGAGGAACTCTGACTTACCACCTTAAAGTGACACTAAACTCAGCAGTTAAACCTTAAAAATACATTCAAGAACATTAACTATTAACAAAATCACAGGAGTGAGCTTGGGGTGGTGGCTACTTTACAACACACACAATGACAATGAGGAACAAAAGTAGCTACCCTCCAAAAGGAACGACAGTGTCAGCACCAATTCAGAGATGATTTGAGGATGTACAGCTGAGTGATACACAAATAATATAAATGATAATATATATGATATTAAAAGAAAAAAAATCTATTGATTCATATGTTGTAACAGGTCAAGACTACAATTTAAAATCATCTGAGGTGAATATACTGAAGTACCTGGATGGAATCTGAAATTGACCTTTCGGGATATTGTCATCATCCAGGAGACACGGGGATATCTCTCATAGACGGCTCCCAATTTGCTGGTAAGTCCAAATATATATGAGCTAATAAGCTTAATGAAGAAAAATCAAATTAACAAATCTTAGGTTACGAAAAAAATGTTTTTTAAAAGTACATTAAGTGGACCTTACACCTTATCCATGAATCTTCTAGTTAATATGTGTAGAACTTTGTTATATAGTCAAATTACATCATGAGCTCACCAGTTGACGTATTTGTCCCATGTCACCCAGCCTTGCATTCTTCTGGCAGCCTCTTCTCATTGATGGCAGTACTATCTTCTAATGCATGACATCAGCAGCCAGCTTCTTTTTCCAATGCACGACATCAGCAGCCAGCTTCTTCCTCCTGCATTTTTTAGCTGGCCAATGGAAGGTGAGCACACCAGATCTTGCGCAAGTGCAGAACAAGATCTAGCAACATGCAATTATGTTAACATTTTGCTGTGGTATCGGGAGTTAATTCTCACTAGACTGGGGTTCATGTCCGAAGTCTGCCTCCAGCATCTATTGATTTAGACTTACCAGGAGGATGTCACCAGAGCATAAAATCATAGACTAGTGGGCAAAAATAAGGTATTTTATTTTATATTAAAACTTGGAGTTTTATTACAACTGAGGCAATTATTTATTATGGAGGGGTGGGCCGGTTGTTACCTATACAATAATGGTTTAATAAGTGGTGCAAGATCCACTTTGAGGCTAGGTTCACACCTGAGCGACTCCTGACCGTGCGGCAATCGTGCACAAAACCGTCACGGAGTTGCCCACCACAGCCGATCGTGCTGGAGGTGCCATTATTTTCTAATAGCACCCCAGTCATGCTGGCGGATTACGCAGTTTCCCACCACGATTCCGCCCTTGTAATTAAACATGATTGCGGCTAAAAAAGCTGCAAGTCATGTGTCGCAAAAAAGGTACTTTTATCTTTTTTTAGTGATTGCAGCGCGGATGTCGCCCCGTTGAAATTAATGGGGCCGCGCGGCAACTGCTGTGTGTACTAGACAGCGATGAAAACATGCTAACTCTTCTCTTCTTCTTGACAGGAAGTGAGCAGAAAACCTTCAAATTGTAACATAGACAGTAATAAAAGCAAAGCCTCTAACGAATTTTGGCTGGAGGCGGGCTTTCAATGTAATATACCAGTGTATGTAATCATACACATACAATATGTATGTCAACTAAATAGTCACGAAAAACCATTAAAAGGGCTTAATTGTAATATGGTAGCAAATACTAAAAATAAGGAAGCTCCCTCTGCAATAGACAACCTGTATATTGTCCAGCTATATGCATAAAGAAGTACCCTCCAGATACAGGAAGACATCATTCAGGCATTTACCCCCCTCCCCTTTGCACACCACTCATTCAGACTAGACAGTAAGGAAAAGGGTGAACACTTACTTTTTTGTCTCATTCCCAACCAGTGCTCTCCTATTCTGTCCTTTCTACTCAGGATGTGGGCAGGCCCCTGACGTCCTTAACTACATAGCCATTTTTGACTGTTGACTGGAGTTTAGATTGAAAATGGTGAAAACAGGCTTGTGAAGTTCAGCAATCGACAATAGCATTTAAGTTTTCTGACTACAATAAACTAGTGATAGATATGGTTGTCACTGGTTACTGCCCAGAAGTGCTCCTTGTGTAGCCTCATCAAAAGACCTTCACTTTTTTATAATACAACACAGGAAATGGCTTCATACCAGTCACCAATTCAAATATTAACATAGCATTTCAAAATCACTTTTGGTTTACAAATGACCTGAGTCACATTCATAAGCCTGATAATGTCTAACTCACGATAACCAAATGTCAACTCTGCTAACACTATGTTCTGTTAAACTTTCTTTTTTTTTTTTTTTGATGGAGCGATGAGATAAAAACAATTAGCCTTTATACACATGTGCTTGAACCATAAATAGAATGATGACGCCACACCTACAAGTCAGAGAGTGCATGTGTGATAGATCACTTCATTTATCTTCTTTTGTGGAGGAAAAGTCCTCTGTCTAATACCAGAACATAACAGGGAACAGTAAATGCCTACAATAAAAAAACATACCCCAAACGGTTGTGCAGTAGGTATGGAGTTTTATTGCTGATAAGAAACCTTCTGGATACTATGTTGTTGATGTGTTTGTTTTCTTGTCTGAATGTTCCAGTTTCTTGTGCGATTTTTGTGGTGCCAGCTGTATGCCACCCTCGGGTGTCTTTCGTAATAAAAATTCCCCTTATTACAGGAATAGGCAAGCTTAGCACCCTAGCTTGGTGAAACCCCATGCCTGCCTCTGGGAATCATGCCTGTGGCTGTCAGTCATGCAGTGCCTAATGGGACTTTTAGTTCCACAACAGCTGGAGTACCGAGGTTGCCTAGGCTCCATAGCAAATTGTCAATGATTCCTCAAACTTGCCCCACATCTCAGAACTTTTCTGTGGATAGCCATGGGACTATACCTCTCTGCAGTCCTCCTCAAATAACATATACAGATCTAAGATTCATAATCACAAAAATATATAAAGAATAAATATTTCAGCACATACAGTACCGGTCAAAAGTTTTAGAACACCCCCATTTTTCCCCCAGTTTTTATTGAAATATAAGCAGTTCAAGTCTGGTGTATAACCTGAAATGCTACTAAGGTAAGCGGTAAACTGCCAGAGGTTTAACAAGAAGTTTAGGTTAACAAAATAATGTACATTTAGAGTTATACAAAAGGGCCTTTGCTAGGGAAGACGTAATGGGTTAACAACTCACATTTGTTCTGCAGCAATGTAAGTAAATTATGCCTTGAAAGTTTATGCTAACAATTCCTACAGGTGTCCCAACGTTTGTTGATTACTCACAAGCCCTCGGTCTGTATAAAAGAAGTGTTGGAACAGACTGTTACTACACCCTCTTAAGCAATATTTAGACAGTATTGTTCTGCAGGAAGTAGTATATTGTTCTCAAAATGGCGAGAAAAAGCCATATAACAAAGGAAGACAGACAGACCATTATAACCCTTAAAAGTGTAGGTCTTTCATTTAGAGAAATTGCAAAGAAAGCCAAGGTGTCCTACACTATCATAAAGCACTTGGAAACTGGAAACTCTCAAAGGAAGAGGCCTGGCAGCCCCAAAGCCACAACAGAATCAGAAGACAAGTTTCTGAGAGTCAACAGCTTGCTTAACAGGCAGCTCACAGGACAACAGCTTCAAGCATATCTTAACACTGATTGAAGTAAGCAAGTCTCTGTTTCAACTGTGACGGAAAGACTTTGAGCTGCAGGCTTGACATGTCGAGTGGCAGTAAGAAAGCCATTACTAAGATGGCAAAATAGGAAAAAGAGGCTAGCGTGAGCCATAAAGCACCACCAGTGGGCTACTGAAGACTGGAAGGTCTTTTGGAACGATGAAACAACATTTGAGATCTTAGGTTCATCACGCAGTGTTTTTGTATACCGTTTAGTAGGTGAAAGAATGGTTCCTCAATGTTTGACACCAACTGTCAAACATGGAGGAGGAAGCGTGAGGGTCTGGGGCTCTTTTGCTGGATCCAGAGTCGGTGACTTGCACAGATTGAGTGGCACCCTGAACCATAACTACTACCGCAGCATTTTGCAGCGCCATGCAATACCCTCTGGTGTATGCCTAGTTGGCCAGGGGTTCATCCTACAGCAATATAATGACCCAAAATATAACTCCAGGCTGTGTCAGAACTATCTTAGAAAAAAAGAACAAGATGGTAGTCCTCAAATCAAGGAATGGCCAGCACCGTCTCCAGACCTAAACCCCACAGAGCTGGTTTAGATGGACTGGACAGAAGGATAAAAGCAAAGCAACCTACAAGTGCACCACATTTAGAGGAACTGCAAGATTTGGGAAGAACTTTTTTGAACAATATTTGATTTCCGTTGTAGAAAGAATGCCAAAAGTGGGTTCGGCTGTTATATCTGCAAAAGGTGGCAACTTTGATGAGTAAAACATTTAGATTACATTTTGTTAAAGAAAACTAATCCATGATTTCTTTTGGATGTCCAAGTGTTTATTTGTTCTATGCTTTATTTTCAGAGTACATTGAGACATTAAACTACGTACATTTCAATGAAAACTGGAAAAATGGGGGTGTTCTAAAGCTTTTATCCCTTGAGGTGATTGCATAGTTGCAGAACCCTGATGCCTTACAAAATATATTCATCCAAAAAACATCTATGTAACAGAGATCGGCCACAATGTCTATTAGTCCAAATCTCTGCCTCTTCATTTCTCCTTCTTCTTTTTGTCAGTTACAGACTCAGTAATGTTATTCCTTGTATGTTGCTTAGCAATTACCTCTGTAAATCTCATCATGCTTTCGAAACATAGTGGCGGACTTGGTAATGTTTACTATGCTGCATAGTGGTTAACAAAATTCTTGAATAAGGAATATAGCGAAAACAAGAAATTTAACAATTTCTGAACATTCTGCTACTTTAAATCAGTAGATAACCACATTAGCATTTACAACTTGCTGTACTTCAGAGAAGTTAATCAGTAATCAGCATATAACCTCTGTTCTGTCACACCTTAGCCTGCCAGATGTAGAAGGAAACTCTCATTTTCAGCTTGATAGAGAATGCAAGGGCAACAATCACTGTATATAGAAGAGCTGTACAGTAAACCATAAGACATTTTTAAAGGAGGACGTTAGTTTTATTATGGAAATGGTGAGAACAAGCAAAACAAACGGTAGGTGTATTTTAATATGCAATATGTAGATCTTGCACATTGAACTTTACTGATGTAAAAACATTTTGTGTGACGCTGACATATTAAAAAAAACAGCTCTGACGGCTTCTGTAAAACTTTCATATAAACTTAGAGCTTCCTTGTATAAATTGACAGCTGAGATAAAAGTCTCCTGTCAAAAATGTACTTGAGTACCTCTTCTGGAACAGTTGCAGAGCACTCAGAGTAATGTTATGCAAGAGTCATAACATTCTGTTACATACCTCGAAGTCATTTGAAGAAATCAAATAGGCAACTTGTGATTCATAGTTTTTCCCCAACATGTTGATGTTTTAAATCTTTAGTAATTAGATTGTGTACGATCTAATAGAATAATATGATTTTTGTACTCTCCATAAAATAATTTTCTCTGCGTTCACTGAAAGACGCAGCATAGATCTTAAATAAGCAACCATAGGGTTATAGCGCTATGGTTACAGATTCAAGATCTATGCTGTGTCCCTCAATGAACAGAAGAGAAATGTGTTTTATAAAATATGTATTTTATGTCAGTACATTTATGGTGGATATATTTACTGTGTGTTGGTTAATCTTTGGCCAAACATCTACAGTAGTGTGAAAAAAATTCAGTCATGTGTACTCCATGTGCACAGGGCAATGCCCCCTTGCATCTTCTTCCTAGCGATTGTGATGTCACACAACCACAACTGCACTTTCGGAATCTCTGTATGGTAGATGAAGTCATGACAGAATATATTTCTTACATACTATCGAGCATATGTAGAAACTTCACAATGGAGATTTGTTCTCACAAGATGCAGAAACTTCCTTCTTCTTGATCTCATATTGCTGTGGAAAGTTGACCTGTGGTTCCTGGACAGACCTACTTGTCCACTGATTCGATATTTAAACCATGTTTATGAGCCATTTAACAACAATCACAGCAAAACCAGATCAGTCTCAGATGAATTAAAGTGACACTAAACTTAAGAGTTAAACCTTAAAAATACATCCTAGTACCTTAACTATTTAAAAAATATATCTTATTTGTGTATTACTCGGCTGTAGATCCTCAAATCATCTCTGAATTCATGCTGACACTGTCCTTCCTTCTGGAGGGCGGCTACTTTTGTTCCCCATGTTCCCTATGTGTGTTATAAAGTAGCCAGTTCACTCCTGTGATGGACTACAATCTCACGTATAGTTTACTAATTTGTATTGAGATTATAGAGGGTTATTCACAAAAGAGTAAAGAGTTTGGAGAAGGCAGGAGAAGTGAATAATCTATGACAATATAGCTAAACTGGAAAGTGAGCTGAATGAATTGGATAATTTTTCCAAATCAGCTATGTTGTCCTAAATTGTTCACTTCTCCTGTCTTCTCCAAACTCTGTCTATTATGGGAGCAAGCTTGGAGCGGTGGCTCCCAGTGTCAGCACCCAGTGGTGTCACAAGGGGGATGTGGCCCGCACCCGGGTGACACCATTGGAGCGGTGACAACGAAATGACTGACAGTCATTTTGGTGTCACCCCCTTTAAAAAGTCGGGCACTCGGTCATGGACCGAGAGCCCGCAAGTCTCTGGAGAGAGGAGGGGACCTCATCCCGCCGGGTGAACGTCCCCTCCTCTTTCTGCCGGCGTCCATCACCAAGATGGCTACCGGCAGGCGTCAATTAGATGACCGCGCATCGCGATGACGTCATCGAACATGCGTGTGGTGACGTCACGCGCATGTGCAATGATGTCACTGCGGGGTGTCATCCCTATCAGCACCAATTCAGAGATGATATGAGGATCTACAGCTGAGTGATACACAAATAAGATATATTTTTTGTTAATAGTTAAGGTATGTGAATGCATTTGTAAGATTTAATTCCTGTCACTTTAAAATATCCTAGATTGCTTATTGTACCCCTAGAAGAAATGTGCTATTTTACCATGTACATAGTGCTTTACTCTTGATGTACAGCATCATACATCATATATACAAACATTTCCAATGTATCTTTTATTTTAAAGTTTACTTCATGTAAACTTATGACAGTAATAGTGTATGCCTACAGTGAAATAAAGGGGTACTTTTGAACATTTCCTTGTTTGGACAGTACATCTGGATTCATTACAAGAAGTAAACTTTAAAATAAAAGATACATTGGAAATAGGAATGTTCAGATACCAAGTACCGTACTCTAAGACTAGACTAGAGAATGTATTTAATGTATGATTTTATATATATATATATACGTTAGGGATTCACCGATACCATTTTTTCCAGTCCAAGTACTAATACTTGTCCAAGCACTCACAGGTACCAATTACCGATACATTTATGTTTAGTGTCATGTGACAGTTTTTCTAAAACAGTACAGGCTAATGATTTCAGGACAGTGGTGGAGCGCCAGGGCCCAGTCACAGCTGCAACTTCTACAATCCTGGTAGTTCTCGTAAAAATGCCAAACATCGGCACTAGTATCTAAACATCCCTAATTGGAAATAATTATTACGAAGCAGACGACACAGTTGATGGATATATTTATAGGATACCATGGTTTTTAAGGTGGATGTATATACATTATTATTGTTGGTATATACAGTTCTGTGTATCTTGTAATAAATATTTGTGTTTTTGTGATCTTTACACGGAGGTCATGCTGATGTATTCATGTAGGAATATGTTTGTTGAGTCCTAGAAACAGGGTTATCTCTTGGGAATTGTCTGGTAGAAGAGCAGAAAAAAGAGAGAGGAAGCGCCACTACCATGCAAGTGTGAAGGTGTGGGTAGATGAGTAAGCCCTGTTGAAGTTATGTTGTTGCTGTTTAGCATGGTGTTAATGATGAACCAAAAAGAGTGTTGCACCTCCCGGCGTTTAACGTTGGAAAACGAGGAAAGGTGAAAATTCAATAATAAAATGATCACATGTGTGGTGTGTAGAAACTCACCGTTAGGTCAATGGTGATGCATTGTCATCAACGAAGGTAGGAGCGATTCTCTTAGGATCCTACATGTTGTGATGAGTAGGTACGTGGTGACTCTAATCGGTTTGAAGTGGGGATGTCCAAAGAAGTGAAGGCTGTTAGGTGTCCAAGTGGCAAGATTCTAAAGTGTGGTTCACTTATTTGGACATCACCACTTCCACTTCAAACCGATTGGAGTCACCTGTACCTACTCATCACAACACGTAGGACCCTAAGAGATTTTTTGTTCTCCTGTCACACGTTTCGGACACCCCGGTCCGTACAAGCAGCACACCAATCAACACAACACCCACCCCAAACCCTGCCAGCTGCCACCATTTCCCTTTGTTCATGGTACTTTTGGAAATTTGCACACAGTGCCATTTTTGGCCAAAATGTTTCGGCGGACAAAATTTCAGTGCATCCCTACTTCTCTTGTTGGTGGCCATAGTCATTGGAACAGAAACTGAGGAAAAATCTCCCAAAGGGAGATAGAGGCCAAAAAAAACATCTTAATTGTTCTATCCTTTTTTTTTTAACTTGCTATTAAAAAAGTGGTTTCATTTCTGTCTGTATCTGCATCCATCATCACTGTGACAAGAAGTGAAGAAAACCCTTCACAATGGCACAGACAGCAATGAAAAGCCTAACAGAGGTTCTGGCCTTCAGTTTCACTTTAGATACCTAATGAGGTTCATAGTAAACTGTATATGAAAATGACTTGTTTAAGAAATAATCCCATATAATGAGGTGACACAATGTGAAATGGCATTTGTGCCTTTGAAGAAAAAACAATGAGGATCATTTGTCAAGCAACTCTGTGACCAAATTAGAAGCAAGCTGCCTCTTAGTAACAGCAAGTATAAGCTACAGCTACATAAGCTGGAAACTGGGACATATTATTATTATTATACAGGATTTGTATAGCGCCAACAGTTTGTGTAGCACTTTATAATATAAGGAAGACATTACAATCACAATACAATTCAAAACAGGATGGTTAGAAGGGCCCTGTCCATGAAAGCTTACAATCTGTATTAGTAAAGGCCTGAGTTTTACTCCATACCGATGCACAATTGGGATGTGGTCAGGGTCAGGTTTTTATACACTGTCAAAGTGCTACTTTAGAGCAGCCGAGTGAAGAATTTATTTTTATCAAGCTTCGCTCCTTTCTTAAATCTAGGTCACTGCTCCTGTTTAGCATTGCCTTGTTGTGTGACATAATTGATTGGGGGGCCCCAATGTTTTTGTTTTCTACAAATTTTATATTGAACAAACATTTTGACATTTGACTGTAATATGCATCTTACTGAAGATACCTTTCTTTTACAACCACACATCTCTTGGTGAGCGTAAATACAGCTCTTCTCTTTTATTTTCTTTCAGGAATACATTCAGTGCATGCTCATTCACCAGACCATGACTCACAAGGACCTTCCTTTTCTACCAGCTACAACCACATACAGTATTCTTCCATCCACCAGCCACTGGTTTCATCGCAATATCATGTCAATTCTGGATATTTCTCACAACAAACGGAGGACTGGTGTTCCAATGGAATATATGATTTGAAACGGATTCCTTCTGACAGCTTGTTTTCTATTGACAATGACATTGTGGATTTGCCACCTGCGAAGAAGGCTAGGATTAGCCCTTGTGCTGGAAGGGTTAAAGGAGATGAGCTGTGTGTTGTTTGTGGAGACAAAGCCTCTGGCTACCATTACAATGCTTTGACATGTGAAGGATGCAAAGGTAAGCTGGTCTGGATATATATCTATATATATATATACAGTACATAGTATATGCATTGCATATATGTATATATATGTCATGGTTACTCTGTGGCCAGAGAGTATTTTGACAGGTCCAAAGGGTAATTTTACTTGCTAAAGCGGAAGTTTACTGTATTGTTATAAAGATTTAGCAAATAATACATTGTGTATGAAACGAGCTTAGAAATTTTAGTAAACCTGCACTCCAAGCAGATTAAAAAAGCACAAATACATGCAGCTCTATATCTATTAATAAATTATTACATGTACCGTTTAAAAACAAAAAAGAAAATCTTAAAAGTACATATATATTTGACCCGATATCAGCCTCATGCATCCCCCTGTACTTTGGAGCTCAGACTGGGAGAGGGAGCCGATAGAGTATGTTGCAGCGCTTATGTGCTAACAAGGAACATGTTGATAACAAGAGAGAGCAGAGTGACAGAGGGATAAACTCATTGTGCTGCTTTTCACTGTCTAGCTACAGGTTGCAGGAGGGATAAAACCGGAAACTGTTACTTAGTTGTGTGCTGCATGGCAGGGCTGCGTAAATCTCAGAACTGGATAGATACGCAATTAAAATTATGTGTCCCACACCAGGTGTTACTCAATAAAAAAGGCTTTTTATAAAGGGGTACATACTTCAAAAAGAGATATAAGGTAACAGTTAACTTGATTTAATTATTTTTCTCAGGTTGTATTACTTGTTGCTTCAGAAAATAACATTTTGCTAGCTCACAATCTATGTTAGGTTAAGTGTTTTTTTAATACAAGGAAAGGTGATTACAGGGCACTGGATGTGGATTATGGCTTTTTCTGACTTGTGCATGTTACATTTGGAGAGTATGTAGGTAAAGGGTCGGCTTACTTAAAAATGATAGTTTTGATAAATGCTGGAGAGTTGAACCACTTAAAAAAGAACTATGGGGTAAGGGTTTTTCCCCATAGCTCTCTTTAGAGTCACGGGAGGACATAAACTAGTCTCCTCCTGTGACCCAAAGCTCAGTATATTGTGGGCTACTGCCTGCGATATACTGCCCAATCCGCAGCAGATCCCAATAATACTGTCGAGATCCACCCAGCTGCGTGAGTGACAGCTGGCTCTGCCTATCTAGAGGCAAAGCCAGCTGTGCTTGCCCCCTCCCCTGTTCGTTCCTCCACTCAGCGCTGGAGGATTGGAGAGGGGAGAATTCGAGCTGGGAGCGGTGACTGACAGTCACAGTTCTCTGCAGGGAGACGATCAAGACTGTTGCCATCATTTCTTTAAACATACATAACATTTTATATAAGAAAAGGTTAGGGTTAAAAAGATGAGGGTAAAATACAGATAGGAAAGATCAGGTGAAAGGGCAGGCTAATACACAGTGTTAAGCGAGCCCAAGCAGCAATGGTCAGCTGTCAGAAAAAAAAACACCAATTGCTTTTAAATGCACTCTTGCATTATTTTAATCAATCAATATTTAGGTCATAATTAGTTATTTAGGGGCACAAAGGGTGCAGATATCACTGGGCATATCATGTCAGGGGTTACCTTTAGCTACTATCTCTTGGACATAGATTCTCCATCTGCCCAACCTATATAATCTTTAGGTGTATTCCTTACTCCACTTTAATCCTAACCATGTTATACAACTCTTGTGTCACATTTCATTCAGACTCATCTGCAACTCAACTCAACTTAACTCACCTTTTTAGGACAAAGGTTGCCTGCTCAGATTAGTCACAGCACAGCATGACTGTAATTGTCACTGTTGTAGTTGTATAAATTCATAAAAAGGCTCTAATAGCATAAAATCTCACATAATACATGTGTGCCTCAGCTGTTCTTTCATGTACCTCCAAGAATTACTACACATACAATTTTTTTTTATTTCTTCTACCTTCTCCAAACCCTTCACCCTTTAGTGAATAGACCTGTTAATGTTTGACAGATGACATAAAGTAATTCCACTCCACAAATGTAGTTCAAAATTTAATAAAATTAGATAATTGACAGATAGTTAAAAAAAAACCTAATTAAGTAGCTTTAATAGCTAAGTATTCTGTGTCTGTCTGGCCATTGTGTGACTGTTAACAAGAGGTGCACCGAAACGAAACCGAAATGAAAATAAATGTCAGGTCGAAACCGAAACCGATAATGTTTTTTATTCTAACTTTTTCAGATTTTTAAAATATTTTATTTGTATTTATTTTTTATAAACTTTTTATTTTTTATATTCTATTTTTATT